CATAATTATCTACACAGCCAGGACTTCAAGGGGTGCCCCTTTAAATAGACACACGGGGAGGAGGTGACCCTGCCCTAGAAATTCATGGAAGGACTTTATGACCAGCTGAGTGTGCATCAGTGCCTTCTGGAGAGGGCTGTGAGGATACAGGTAGGGACTACTCTTCCTGCTTCTCAGAGGAGGAAGCTGTATGCATAAGTGGCAAAGCTGGATCTTGAGGCCTTCATCCAGCATCCTTTCCACTATTCCTAAGTGGGAAACAGAAATCACTCAACTGTCAATTGTCTCTGGTAGAAATGATTCAGTTGCCCTGTGAGCCAAACGGGACCTAAGTGTAAACCCTGAATGATAGGGCAGCATGCTTCAAGGGTGGGTGTGTGTGTGTGTGTGTGTGTGTGTGTGTGTGTGTGTGTGTGTGTGTGTGTGTATGAGAATGGGCAGGTACCTTGTTCTGCTGGAGGCTGTCCACTCAGAATCCTCCAGAAGGACAAAGGTGGCAAACCTTTGTCAGCCAGGTGACCCTTCCGCATACTCTGTGACCCACTGATCAGCCTCCACCCAAACTTTCAGCAGCATCCTCTGGCTCCTGTGACCTGGCCCCTGGGTAAAAGCAAGAGGTGAGCCAGCAGGCTGGAGGGCGGGCAATGAGGGAAAGGCTGAGCTGGCAGCCAGAACTAGGGTGAGTGGAGTGGCAGGGCAACGGGCAGACAGTGAGAAGAGACCCCAGGGAACCCTGACCCCAGCCGCAAGTCTGAGGTAGAACTGTGTTCTCTCCATTCCACAGGTGAGGCTGTGGGTGCTGGAGGTTACAAGGCACAGCATTTGCTAATTCAATGACCAGGCTGAGAGCTTCACAGCAGGTCGGGGAGAGACCAATCAGCCCCTCCGTTTTGACCTGTCTTAGGAGCCAGCAACATTATATGGCAGGCAGCAAGCTCCAAGAAGTGTTTTTGCCAGTCACCTCTTGTGAAGTACCAACTACCAAGGCCTCACAGTGCGATTCCCAAGGGCACATTAGCCAGGACAGTGGGACTGTGCTCATGCAACCTGCCACCTCAGTGGGGCAGACTGTGTTGAAAGTCATCTGGCTTCCAGCATCTGCATCTCTCTACAGCCACAGAAATTCTGATGCAGGTGGTATGGGCAAGGACTGAGGAATCTCCTACCAGGCTCTCCAGTGGCAGTGGGATGTCGGTTCTGAGAATCGTGCTCTGAGAAATTCTGTGCTTGGAAGGATGGTGAGGACATGAACAGAGTGAGCTCCCCTGAGATGACACCTGCTGCTCTAAGAAAAGCCCCAGGACCAGTTCTTCGTAGACACTGTTGCCCACACAGGTCCCCTGGGGATCTTATTCAAGTGCAGACTCTGACTTGCTAGGCAAAGTCAGAGGTTCTGAATTTCTGCCAAGCTCCCAAGGGACGCTCACACTGCTGGTCTACAGAGAATCAAGAGGCTAAGCTGGGGCTCTCAAACTTCAGCATGCATCCGAATTACCTGGAGGGGAGGCAGCTTGTAAAAACAGGCTGCCACTCCCACCTGGATGGAGCAGGGCTGGGCCAGGGCCTGAGAAGGTTCTTTCCTAACCAGTTCTCGCTGCTGCAGCAGCTTATGGGCCTGAGACACCACCTAGAGAAATACTGGCTGGGTCAGTACAAGGGCAGAATACAGTAAATGCAGCCCAAAGCACTCCTATGTCACTGACATTTTTAAGTACTGTAGCTCTGTTATTAAATTCTTACCAAGGACTTATTTTCCTATGATCTCTCCCCCTACCCACTGGCCCCTGAACAGTGTGGGTGCATAGGAAAAAAAAAACCCCAGGGAATTGGGGAGTATGGAAAGTTAAATTCTAGCTTAACTGAAAGAGCCTCCTGCTTAACAACATGAGGTCTCCCGGATCCATGATTTTCCCTTCACCCCCACATGTTCCAGCACTGAATTGCTATGCAGCATCAAGTACCTCTGAGCAAGCAGGGAGAACCTAATGATGGTTCTGCACCCTCCTGCAGTCACGTGTATTGGCCAGAGGGACACAGAGGTGACTTCATCATCATTAGACCCACCATGGTCACATGATCACTTATGGCCACACTGAATGCCTCATCTCCTCAGGGACCCTCCCTGGATCCTCCTCTGCCCGGGAGTTCTGTATCTGGAAAGCCTTGGCACACCTTACCCCTGCAGCTATGCCCATGTTCTGCCTAGGGGTCTAATATTTGCTCACACTAACACCTGTAAGCAACTTGAAGTCAGGGCCTGCCACTCATTCATCTCTGTAGCCCCTGCTTCTCCAGAGACTATATTTTCCTGAGCAGTCTTGCTTATAAATAACTTAAAAGCTTCCACATATAGTCAGCCTTCTGTATTGTGGGTTGTACATCCATGGAGTCACTGAGCTGCATTAAAAATATTCAGGGACAAGCACAAGGACCCAAGTTCAATCCCCGGTACCAAAAAAAAAAAAAAAATTCAGGGAAAAAACTGCATCTGTACTAAGCAGGGCTTTTTCTCCTTGTCATTAGTCCTTACACAAAGTGTATGACACCCATGTACATAATGTATATGCTACGTAAAGTCTCATAAACAATCCAGAGATGACTTCAAAGCTATGGGAGGATATGGGTAGGTTATAAGGAAGTAACTTCCATTTTATAGAAGGGGCTTGAGCTTGTGCAGATTTGATAACTCAAGGGTCCCGGCACCATCCTCTGTGGCTGTGGAGGGACAACCTATTGCCTCCTGGTTTGGAAAACACAGACCATCCCTGAAACTTGCAAATGACCATTGTCTGAACTCTCAGCTACAAACTTTTCTCCCTCAGGAATGTCTAGTGCAAACAACTATGTCCTGACAGGCCAGTCCCCAAGGCCCAGGCACCTTCCCATCTTCGGGGAGGCACCTGCTGCTGTTTGTGTCTGTCAGGGGGCCAGCTGGGGGAGGGAAGCCACCCCCTTGATCTGTTCGGCTTCCTGTTTATCTGATCAGGCTCAGAACTCCCAACTTAGAGGGTTTGGCCAGAGGTGAGGAGGATGGTAAGGCCTGAGGTAGGACTTCCTGGTGGAGAACACAGGTCACACAGGGTGGGTGGGGTGGGGATGAGGGGAAGGGAGCATGCATGGTGTGACTGGGAGCAAGAGCTCGGGAGGACAGGTTGGGAGGCCAGGCTGGCTGAGACGGACCCCCACACCCCTGCAGGGCAGCCTACAGAAGTATCTTTGTGATGTTTTTCAGCATGACCCACAAAAAGCAATTGAATTTTTCATCATGACCCTTAATATATACTTGTACAGCACACAGTAAAACTGAAATGGAAACCTACAAAACAGTAATTACCACGCCACATGTGACGTACCTTGACATTTTCTATTCTAGTCTATCTCATTAAAAATTGCTGGTCTCAACTCACTAGTTTGACATTACAACCACTGGTGGATAACCTGCAACGTGAATTAATCCACCTTACTGTGTCTGTTATTTCAGCGGAGCTTCGAGGCTTTGATATTTTTGTTCGACATGGTGTGCCTAATCAACGGAGCACCGGCTGTATGCCAGATAATATACTGAGTGTCTGTGGGATAGGGTGAGGGCTTGGAGAGGAGAGGATGTGACCACCCCCAGGACAGAGAAGGGTCACACGCACAGGCCAGAGGGCTGGTGGCGCAATGTGGCAGATAATGCAAGCTGAGGGCACCCAGCCACCAGTGAGCAGAGGCACCACTATCTCCTAGCATTGGGTCATAAAGCAGACAGAAGTGTTCCCGTCCCTCCCAGTCCTGTTGAGGTCCTGGTCCTCCTCTCCTCCTCTCCCCTGAGAATGGCCCAGAGGGTGGCAGACGCTCAGCTGGTAGCACTCCTGGGAACAAGACAGGGACTGAGCTGATCCTGGCGGCTTCCTGGATGCTGCAGGCCTCCAGGCCTTGCTGTGCCCATGCTGGAGGCATCGTCTGAGGATAATTTCATAAAAATTTGTGTTTTCTTTTTCCAACGTGCTCTGAAGGTTCTGAAGGGGAAAGATAAGCCATTCTGAAGGCACCCCAAGCTCCAACTCCGATTACCCTGATGAGATCCTGCAGGAGATCAGGCGCAGCTGGGAAACAGCACCAAGCTATTTCCACAGCGGAGGACAGCGGCCCTCACTACCTCCGCAGAGCCAGATCCTCCCTCTGGCCAACCTTCTGCTGCCCCTTCCCTCCAGCCAGGCTATGAAGGACACAGCATGGCCCTCCCACAGGCTGGGAGTAGAGTAGAGTAGAGAAGGTGCTGAGTTACCAGAATGGATGAGGGAGAGAGACTGTGTGGGAACAATGGCCCTGGCCCGCACAAGGCACACCATTTCTCCTCAGACAATTGAAACCCCCCTAGAGCCCTGGCTTTTCATCAAATGGCATAATGACTGTAAGAGGACTTAGGAAAATAAGAACAAAATGGAAAGAGATTAGAAGTAACACTAGTGACATCAGAGCAGCACTAAAGTTAGAGGCAACAAAGGAGAGACAGACAGACACACAGACAGGCAGGCAGGCCGGCAGAGATCTTGCAAGTGCCCGTTCTCTCCAGGGAGACTAGACTGCTAGCTAGAGAGAATGTTTAGTTCTTCAAGGACTCAGTGAGACAGAGAGGTAGGTAACGGCCTCAACCTCAGCACAGTCCAGGGCCCCCGGCCCCAGGGCCCCCTGTAGAAGGCATAGATTGGACGCTCTGGAGCCTTTTACACTGGGTACAGCCCAGGCAGGCAGACGGAGACCCAGAGAAGGACAGCTTCTGGAAAGCTGCTAGCTCGGGGTGTGCTGTGAGGAAAGCTGAGGCTGTCACTGGGAGCGGAAACCACTGTCCAAGCCAATCTCAGGCATACGGCAGAGCGACACAGTGGCCACCTTCCCAGGCCCAGTGTGCTCTGCTCGGATGTCAGGACGAGCAAGCCCAGGCTTCTCCTCGCCTGTGCTCGTGCCCTGCAGAGCCCTGCACAGCAGCTGCAGACCAGATGGGCCGGGCCACTCACCCATGATCTCGTTCTCCTCCAGGTTGATAGTCTCCAGCACTGGCAGGGTGGTGAGCTGCTCTGGGAAGTCTCGGAACTGGTTCCGGGACAGGTCGATAGCCTTGAGGTGCTGCAGGTTGCTGACCTCATTGGGGAGACGATGTAGGAAGTTCCCTTCTAGGCGGAGCTCTGCCATGCAGGGGAAGAAGAGACAGGAGAGTGAGCAGAAGGCCCTGCCTAGAGACCACCACGGCTACTGTTAGTGGGTGGGCCAGGGGTGGCAGCAAAGAAGGCCCAGGGCCCAGTGGAAGTCATCAAGTAGCCAAGTCCCTTAGCTGACCCTGGAAGAAGGCTAATGTTCCTACCACTGTCCAGGCAAGGCCTGCCATCCATCATTCCTACTTTTGGCTTTAGAATAGAAGACTCCCAACAGAGGCCTGGGCCTAAACAAAGGGTCAGTGTGTGCTGGCTCCCTTCAGACCAGGACACAGGATGGGCAGCCCACCTAAGGGACATGACTCCCCCCCGCCTTACCTGCTCCAGAGACCACTAGGCCAGTCAGATTCTTTCTGGGTCACTAGCTTTGTTCCCTGCCCAGCCACCACCAACAAGACTTGAGTGGCTTCCTACCCCAAAGTGAGTGCTCCCAAAGCTAGTGGTGATCCATGCGGGAACCTGCACGAGAATGGCCGGGCCAGTGTCAGTCCCTCTGTCAGGGACTTGGCCCAGGCAGTGCCCAGAGACAGGTCCAAGTGGAGCCTGAGACTGAAATGACAGGAGGGTGGGGATTGGAGACTTCACAGGAGCCCTGTGTGAGGAGGAGGAGTTGGGGAGCAATGCACAGCTATGACAGGGGGACCAGCAGTCCCTGCTGCCTGGGTGCCAACCCCAACCATGTCACCTATGACCGTTCACTGAGAAAGTTATTTAACTCGGGGCCAGGGATTTAGCTCAGTGGTTCCGGTGCCTGTCTCGAAAGCTCAAGGTCCTGAGTTCGATTCCTGGTACTGGTACCAAAAAAAAAAAAAGTTATTTAACCTAGTTAGGGCTTTGTTTCCTCACCTGAGGAAAGGAGCTCATAGCAATCCCTGCCTCCTAGGGTTTTGAGGGTTAAATCTTTAACAGCAGTAAAGCAAAAGGAGAGAAAGACAACAGGCGGGCCTCTGCTTCCAGGCTAGTTCCCTGTCTACATGTGGCTTTAAAGCCAGCCCCTTCTCTGGGACATGGACCTCCCCACCCTGCCTGACACAAAGGAAAATTAGGCCCAAAAATGCCAAGTGACCTGAAGAACATCGTTTGTCGTTGGTCTCTTCTCTCCAGGGCCAGCTTTGTATCTACGTGGTCAATGTATGCACACAGGGTTCCATACTGAGGAAGGAGCCACTCGGGGTGGAATGTTCTGTGGGCCATCGGGAAGCCTTAATCATTTTACCCTTGAGCCTGTGTTTTGTAAACAGCTGGGGTCATGCAGTCTGCATTCACATATGCCTGCCTCCCCTACTCCCTAGGATGGCTTGTTGCCTATTCTCCCACTCCCTGAGGCCCTGGGAGCTGCCTGGACTCCCCTTTCCATGCCTGCTCTGTGACTCTTGTAGTGGGCCATCCCCCCGCGAGGAGAGTCCGAGTCAGGCATGTGTGTCCCTCGAGGTCTCAGGGCACAGCATGGTGGCAGCTGCATCTTACCCACCCTCTGCCCAGGGCAGCCCCCGGGCTGGCAGCACCATGGTGTGTCTGGTCGGCAGTCAGCTAGAGACTGAATCTTGGCAGGGATGAGCCTCTTGCCCACCCGACTCTGGTACTGAGCAGGTCCCAGTGCCCAGGTTAAAGATCCTTGGAGATGCCTGTGTGCCGTGGGCTGGGGTGGTGCTTCTGAGGAAGGAGAGCTATCTAGCCCAGCTCCCCCAGATCACCCCTGGCTAGGGTAAAAGCATAGCTGTCCAGCATCTGGAAAGAGCAGGAATTCAGCCACTATCAGCCCTGCATTGAGGGCAGCGCCTGGGCACCTTGAAATCTGCACGGCCTCTCTGCCTCCTTCCCAGCCTCCTGAGCCTGGCTTGAGTCTGTCTTTTCAGCCCAATCACAGCACCTTGGAAAATGAGCTACAAAATATGAGCTGTGTCATTTCACATGCCAGTTAAGTGCTCTGAGAATTGCCTTAAAACTGGCACTGTACAACATAAAGATGCATGGTCAAATCCATACTATGCTTTTATTTTTCCTTACTTTGAATGAAAAGCACTGTAATAAACTGACAGAGAGACAGCAGAAGAAAGCAGAAAGATTTCTATGTATTTGTCAAGCATTTTTCCCAAACAAGAGTCCCAAATTCTCATTTTGGCTGCTCCCCAATCATGCAGTCAGCTCTGTCCCCACTCTGTGCTCCACACAGCTCTGTGAGACACAGCTCTATGATGGAGCCCTGGGTTGATGAGCCCCTCTCAGGGATCCCCACAGCAAGAGAAAGACCCCTGCCTCCATCCAGGGCCTCTGTCCTCATGTTCTGAGCTCTGGACAGGCAGGAGCTGCATCTGACTCATCTTTGTCCCAATATGTAGCCTCCAGCAGGGTACTTTGTCGTCACCAAGCAAATGCTGGATGAGTAATAACTCTTTTCCCCTCAAGAGGCAGAGAATGTAGGGAGCCTGGATTACTTCCCACTGTTCCATCTCTGGGGACATCCTGAACTCAAGGTTCCACCAGTAGATCTGCTGCCTGCTCCATGCAAACCCAGGACCCCTTCAGCAGCCAGGTTCTCTGAGAACTACACCTTCATCATCAAATACCCCTATCTGGATCATGGTTATAAGGGTCACAGCGTAGGAGGTGACACTAGATAACATCTAGCCTAGTGTTTCCCAGATGTGCCTTTGCCAAACAGCATTTCCTCAAACACTCTAAGCATGCTGCACCTTGGGGTCTTTGCAACTGCAGTTCCTCCTTTCTAAAATGCTCTTTACCCACATAAGCGCAAGGCTCACTGCCTCATTTTATTTGTGTCTTTACTCAAATATCTTCCAGTCTAAAATAAAATCCACTTCCATTGGTTCCTGTCCCCTTCCCCTACAGCACTCAGCTCTGTAGCATCCACAATTTCCTAACATATAGGCTTGTTTGCATTCTCTCTGCTTCCCTCCACAAGAAGGGAAGCTGCCTGAATGTGGGGCTCACAACACTGCCCAAGACAGAAAGCACTCAACAAATATCTAATGAGTACACAACTGAATAAATGGACATTCTGTATCACCCTCACAATTCTGCAAAATTTCTATTCCACATACACCACTGTTCTTCTTTATATTGATTTGTCCTTTGTTTATATGAAAAACCAAAACTGTTATTACTCTCTATGAAAACACTGTTCAATTCTCACTGGCCACCATTGTGAGATGAAGAATCTAGGCCCTAAGCAGATGATGCGGTGGAGAGCACATTCCAGGGAGGGGGTAGCTGCCTCTCGGATCCCTCAGCAGTCACTTCCCTGAGATGGACGTGTGTTCTGGACAAGAACATCCTCTGATTTCCCTGGTCCATGGATTCCCAAAGCCCTCATTCCCAGAGATCACACTGCCATGCCTTGTGTAGTCTGGCTGCCCATGGCACCTCCCAACCGCCAGTGCACAGCCTGACTGCAGCAAAGTACTTAACAGGCCACTCAGGGAGCCACCTGACCCCGACAGGCCACAGGGTGAGCACAGGACATGTATAGAGGACAGGACACAGCTGTGTGCAGGTCCTTCAATGTTGCAGGCGAGGAGGTGGCTGATGTCCCCCCTCCAGCTTTGTTTTCTTTTCCCTGCTTGGGGACATCAGCAGGCCTGCACCCCCAATGGTAAGACTTTGGAACCATCCCCCAGCCCTGTGCTCCCGCTCAGGGCTGGTGGTGGGAGGCTGTGCACTGTGGATCACAAACAGGCTCTGCAGCCAGATGTCCTGGGGCTTCACAGTCAGACTCTGCCACTTTCTGACTGATCTCAGGCAAGTTGTTTATCTTGGCTTCAGTTTCTCCATCTATAAAAAGAGGGCAGTACTAAACACTCTATATAGGGTGGTTGTGAGGTTTAAATGAATTACAGGTAATAAGTGAAAAACAGCTTTAAATAATGCTAGGCACACAGTGAATACCAGGTACACATGTGGAATAGAAAGATGGGTGGACAGAGAGGTAGACACAGGATACGATGCAGAACAGCAGGGTGAACTCAGTAATCTGCTTAGTATTAAGTCACCTGCTAAACTTGTATTTCTCATTGCCCAAGCTTAGACTCAGAAGAGAGGAAAGTGCTGTTTGTTTGAAGCTATAATGAAAACGACCCTGTCCTTTACTGCTTCAGAAGCCCTTCGGGGCCCAAGGCATTTGGAAGCAGGTATTCGAAGTGAGCTGGTAAACAGGCTGGCACGCCACCAGTGCACAGTATGGCAGCTTGTGGAGTCTCAGAACCCACTGTCCCTGTCCCTCATGTGAAGTGAGCAGTTCCCTCTGCTCAACAGGGCAACAGGATAACTGCACCAGGGTGGGGAAGAGAATCCTCTCTTGATTTTGTTACCTCCAATTTTCTGACATGTTCAGAATTTTTATTTCAAAGAAAAAAAGGATGGCCTTTATCAAACCAATTCAGTCTTGAGCCTAATTACCGCCCCAGAGCAGCTCAGAAATGTAAGAAGCATCTATCCCGAAGACAGATTCTAAGAGTCTTTTGGGTGTCCCCATGTGACCTGACCTCATCTATGTATGGATGTGGGTAAGCATGTCTGTCTGTCTCTCTCGCTCCCTCTCCCATGGGTTCAGCTTCTCTGGAGAACCCTGGGGGTGCTCTGGAGGCCCAGAGACCTCACCCAGGGGCCAACCACGAGCACTTCAAGGCAGCATCCCTGCTGAGTGGAGCCTCACTTCCATCAAAGGCTCTACCGCTCTGGCCTGAACTTTCTGCCCTCAATCAGTAAAGAGATGGCAGAGGCACGGCCATCTCATCAGGGAAGGTTAGAGCCAAGAAACCCTACCTAGTGCTGCCTTGGAGATGAAAAGTGAGGTCACAACCAGTCAAGGAAGCCCTCAGTGTCCTTCACTTACTCAGGGAAGCATGATTAGGGTCATATTTGGAGCTGATTTAAAGGCAATGACATTTTCAGGTGCCCAGGTTGGCCAGAGAGCTTTCCTTGCCTTGCCTGGCAGGCTGGCAGGTATATGCTGC